GTCACTAATGAGTGATCTATTTGAAGGTGATATAACTGTCAGCCCAGTGGTACATGATCATGATATAATCTTTCCATTCTGTTCTATCTATGAGTATTAATCCTGTTTGTTACAACAGTTTTTCTTTATGCTATCTTTAGCAGTCTTAAAGGTTACACACTTACTTGCTATTAATATTTAACACATCTTGTAAAGTTTGCCTGTTTCCCAAACTAGTTGCTTATTTATTATATATACTTATAATATCCTGTGAGTTTTGCCTAATTCTTATAAGCTACCCATTTACTCTCTATGAATTTCATCCATCCTGTTTTTCTTATCTTTCTATAATAATTTAATTTTTAAATACATATTACAGAAAACACATATTACACATGGTATATAGCAACAAAATTTATAGAATTAAATTTTATATGAATACTTGAATGATGACTGAATTCTTATTATGGATCTTATTCTATTTTAGATATACAGTTCACAGACACTCAACTAGTATACTTCTATTGCACTAATATTTTTGTCCAATATTTGGATAAAATTTTCAATAATCTAGAGTAATAGAGGAAAGCTGTAATCCAGTTGTTTTCTGGGGTGAAGGATAATTCAAATGAATAAGAAAAGAAGACAATGACCCCCAAACATCCAATCAAACACATTAACATTAACAAAACCCAGCACCATCCCTGGTGGGATGTCCCTATCAACTCCTTTCTATTGTATTTGCCTAGACTTTTCGGAAAGCTGTAAGCCAATTTCACTGTCCTCATTCATTCACCACATTAGATACAACCAAGGCTATTTTAGGATTATTGCCTCTAAGGCTCTAAATACTTTTTTCAGATTTTACTCAAAATTTAGACAGGACAGCTTAGGTTACCAGTTATTACCTAACACAATGACTAAAACATAGCAGATGCTCAATGTACAATGCACAATCTGCTTTACGTACAATGGAATCAGTTCTTCCTGTTAATGACTGCCAATGAAAAATCTGAGAAATTCTCCTTCTAAAAGAATATTTTTCAAACTGTGTGGTTATCCTAGTCATAAATTACAATTTGGCAGTTATGTAGTTGGCTCATCAATCAGATGGAAAGGAAAAGTACTCTCAAAATATTAGAAGAACTGAAAAGTTAAACAAGATGTTCAATTGACGGCTAGATTGAAATACTAGTAAATATTTTTAAGTGGATGAGAGCCACAAACCTGGTTGTACTGTCCATGAATGGGTAAATGTAGTAATGTTAAAGAAAACTCAGAAAAAATGGGGGGGTGGGGGGGGGATGACCTTCAACCTTAGTGGTTTCCAAACTTTCCTTTGAAAGTATTATAATTTTTTTTAACATTCATTATCTCTTTAATCCTTACAACTTCCATCTGAGGTAAGCTTTTAACCCCACATTTAAATATGAAAGGCCCCAAAAAGTTGACTAAATTGATCAGCCAGTAAAGTGACAAAGATTGAACTTAAACCCAGTTCTAATGGACTATCATGATCCCAAGATCAAGCCCATTCTCTCGTTATGTTGCCTCTCTGATTGCTGAATAAGCAAATGAAATCTATAAATGCATCAGGCTGATATCATTCCCTACTGAAGCATTTCTAGAATCTATTTTTTATTTTTTATTGTGCTAAAACAGACATAACACAACATTTACCTTTTAAATCATTTTTAATTATATGAATACAATGGCATTAGGTACAATCACATTGTTTACAACCATCACTACTATCGATTTCTAGAACTCTTTTCATCTTGTAAAACTGAAACTCTACCCATTAGGCAGTAATTCTGCATTTCCCCTTCCTGCCACCCCCTGGCAACCACCCTTCTACTTTCCAGCTCTATGAATTTGACTACTCTAAGTACTTCATGACTAGCTTATTTCACTTAGCATTAATGCCTTCAAGATTCTTACAGGACTGTAGTATGTCAGAATCTTTTTCCTTTCTAAGGCTGAATAATATTCCATTGTGTCTATATACTGTATACATACTGTATACATACATATATGGGTATATGTACACACACACACACACACACACACACACACACACATTTTGTTTGTTCATTCATCCACTGAAGAACACTTTGGGCTATTGTGAATAATACTGCTTTTAATTCTTTTGAGTATGTAACCTGTCTTAGTCTGCTTAGGCTGCCATACAAAATATCATAAACTGGATCACTTAAAGCAATAGAAAATTTATTCCTAACAGTTCTGGAGGTTGAGAAATCCAAGATCAAGGTGTAGTTGGTTCAGACCCTAGTGAGAACACTCTATCCTCATGTGGTAGAGAGGAAGGGAGGAAAAGGGGGAAGGGAGAGACACAAAGAGAGAGCAAGCTTTGTGGTGTCTCTTCTTATAAGGGGATCCCTCATGATCTCATTTAGCCATAGTAACCCTCTCAAAGGCCTCATCTCCAAATACGATCATATTGGGTGTTAGGGCTTCAATATGTGGACACAAACATTCAGTCCATAACATACTCAGAAGTGAAACCGCTGGATCAGATAGTAATTCTATTTGTAATTGTCTGAGAAATAGCCACACTGTTTCCATAGTGGCTACACAATTGTATATTCCCACAAACAGCATAAAGGTTCCCAATTTCTCTACATCCTTGCCAATACTTGGTATTTCATGTTTATGTGATAGAAACCATCCTAATGGATATGTGGTGGGCAGTAAAACTTTTAAAAGCTAACATACAAAACAGGAAAAAAAAAGAGAACTGCTTGCCTTTAAAGCAAAAAAATCTAGAACAAATCTAACATTACCCTTGCCTCCTTATGAGAGTCTCTGAAAGGTTTCACAAAAAGTTTGGGAAAAAAAATCTTAGGAAATAGACTGATAAGCTAGTCTTATAGTGGGGAGTGGGGTTCAAGTTGGGTAGAGAAACACTGCTATTCAGGGTATCTCTGTTTTCCTAATTCAAATGTAAAACTTCCTAAAATCTAGGACATGAGATAAAAATCCTACTGAGAAAATGGGAATTATTGTGAGTCAACTAGGAATAGAACATCACACTGGAGGTGTACTTAGGAAGATACACAGTTTTGCCTTCAAGTTTCCAGAAACTGAAGAAATCACATATATATCATGTGAGTACAGATATATTTTTATTCTGGTTCTTATAAATTTGTTTGTTTGTATTCTAGGGATAGAGAGGGTTGCTCCTACAACATTATATTATACTTAATAGTTTATAATTCTCTCTCCCCATCCCTATACCCCCATCCCCAGATACATTCTCACTACAATAAACGCTTCAACGGTGTGGGCCAAGTATATTATTAGCTTTTGCATCACCAACATCTAACAGTCTACCTGGAACACAGTAGAAATTTAATAAATGACAAGAAATAAAGGGAGAAAAGGGAAAAACAAAAAAGAACATTTCTTGTACATATTGGCTGAGCTGATCCAAACTGAATTTCTTTCCCTCTGATATCAAAGAAAGACTGCTTGTCTGGCAATTAGGTCAACTACAAAAATATCACTAATTAGATAAAAATACTGGATGAGCCACTCAAAACTTTGAATTCCATATACTTCCTTGCTAAAGATAGGAGGAATAAATAAAGCATTACTAGAGTACATTGTTACAATGCACATGGAGTATTATAAAAATTGTAAAATAATAACTGTTGGACAATGATTATTTTATTAATGAGAACAATATCAGCCCGAAATCCAATAGGTCATGATATTAATTATGTAAGCAATAAACTTTGGAAAGGTAGAGATTGATGAAAATGCTCAAGAAAGGAGAGAATTTATTAGTGGACAGCTAATAGTCTCCCAGATCTAGAAAGAGAAACAACTGAAGAGGTATTAGAACAGGGGTGGGTAAACTTTTTGACTCGAGGGCCACAATGGGTTCTTAAACTGGACCGGAGGGCCGGAACAAAAGCATGGATGAAGTGTTTGTGTGAACTAATATAAATTCAAAGTAAACATCATTACCTAAAAGGGTACGGTCTTTTTTTTTTTTTTTAGTTTTATTCATTTCAAACGGGCTGAATCCGGCCCATGGGCCGTAGTTTGCCCACAGCTGTATTAGAATGTGTTTTTGATAGACTGAGGCTTTAAAAAAAGGTATCAGTTATGGACAGAATTGCGTCCCTACCCTGAAATTCATATGTTGAAGCCCTAAACCAGTGACTTCTTTGGAGATAGGGCCTTTCAGAAAATAATTAAGTTAAATGAGGTCCCAGGGGTAGGGCCCTTATCCAATGGGACTGGTGTCTACATAAGAGGAAGAAACACAAGAGATGTCTGTCTCCATGTGGGCACAGAAGAAAGGTCATGTAAAAATACAGTAAGAAGGCAGCCATCTACAAGGCAGGAAGGAGACCTCTCCAAAAACTAACCCTGATGGAACTTTGATCTTGGACTTAAAGTCTAGAACTATGAGAATATAAATTTCTCCTTTATGCCATCCAGTCATGGTATTTTATTATGGCAGCCTGAGTGAACTAATACATTATCCCTTTTCTGTTAACCTGAGCTCACAAAGTAGAAATGTCCTTCCTAAGCACTATATGAAATGCAGAAGCCATAAAGCTTAATTATATTAAAAAAAACTAAACACTTCAGCACAGTAAAAGCCACTAGAAGAGTTAAAGTACAAATAATCCTTTCAATTTATAGGATAAAAAGCTATCAAATGAGGAATTTCTACAAACCAGTACATGAACATTCAAAAAATAATAAAGAATTTGACAATTAAGAAAGAAAAAATGTAAATAAACAATAAACAATAAACACATTAAAGATGTGCAAACTTACCAGTAACCAAAAAAATACCAATTAAAATAATTTTTGTTGATTAGATGGAAAATGACTTATAAAATCCTAATTCAGAACTAACAAAACTATTCAATAGCAACAAAATATAGATTGGAACAATTATGCAATGACCAAAAGTCTAGAATCAGTTTGAATCTATTCCTTTATAACTTAAAAAAAAAAAAAAAAAAGAATTAACCAACCTGGGCCACTTTCATTGAATTCTGAGTAGAACCACCAGCATGATATTCGACTTTGAATTTTTTTACAAGTTCATTAAACCTGTAAGGAAACCACAGTAGAAAAAGTAAGTTAGCATATGTCAGTTGTCACAATGCAAATTTCTGATTAGAAGCACATTAAATTGCAATTAGTGGAATTTTTAATTATATAATTATGATGCATAAATGAATTAAATATTGTATAAAAAACTTTGCTACTACCCATACTTAAGAAATTTATTATACAAATGTACAACTATAAGAATTTAAAATATATAGGCTTTCCATTATTAATCATTAAACTAAAGTTATAAATAACAATTCATAATAAGCAATGCATATTTTCCTACATTAAGTGTTGCTCTCTAAAATCTTTATAAATGTATATTCTAATAAGTTTTAAAAGTTTTACATATTATGAGGACTAACAGTTTATAATTTAAAGAATCAGGAAACCACATTGGGTTGTATGATTATAGGCAAGTTGCTTGGTGACAATTTCTGTATCTGACAAATAAACGCACAGAGAGAGAGATGATTTAAGCTTCGATACCTCATTATTTTGGAATCTGATAAAAGCTAACTTCTCTTCAGGAAAATATATACATAGTTAATATACATGTAACTTTTCATACAAGAGGATCCATGTACACCCCTCCTATTACACACCCTCAGCCAGGGGACTTTGGATACTGACTGGAATAAGGGTCACATTAGATGGCATTTACTAATGTGGATCACAAGTCAGTATTCCCGACTACATGTCTCGAGGGTGTGAGTAGAATATTCAAGGAAGATTTCAGACTTGAAAATATTTTCAAAACTTGTAGTAGATCCTACTATTCAAGTGCAACATTTTACAGAACTTTAAAATATATGTATATAAAAAAAGATAAATTCAAAGATGGTTAGGTTTGGGATAGAGAAAAGGGAGTTATAGCCAGTTGAATATTCAAATTGCCTTGGGGTTCCATCTGTAAAACCTGAGATGCCAATGAACACAATTAGCAAACCTGCTCAGAACTCTGACAGCAATATTTATCTACCACTAATACTACTAATGTAATAACAGTAGAAAAGCAAAGTACATGGGACACAGATACATATACTAGTAGGTGGATGGTTTGGGTAATCACAGGAAGTTCTCTAATTACTTAATTAACTAGGTAACAGCTAAGAGTAACATTAGAGATTGGAGGAGAAAGGGGGAGAATGACAAAGTAAACAGAGAGTGATCAATTGCCTTAGTGCAGAGATGAGGACCTGCAATCTTAATTGCATAGAGAAAATATTTGCACAATACAATGCAACAAAATTACAATATACATATGTATACTGCAAACAAAATTACCCAGTATACACGTGTACTAAAAAGAACCAGGAAGATTACAACCAAGATGTTAACAGTGGTTAGCTCCAAATTAGAAGCAATTATGAATATTATATAAATTTATTGAATGTGTAATAAGCACATAAACTATTTTGTAATAAAAACACTTTTAAGTATACTTCATTTTATAATGGAAGAACATAGCAACTTTCCATACAATTATTTAAAAAGAACTATATATATAGAACAAAGTCAAACAAAAAGCAGAAAGCAGAAAAGTAAGTGATTCTGAATGAAACAGGCAAGGAAAGTTTAACATCTGGAACTGGAATTTGACAGATAAGGAAGAAAAATTATTCAGGAGGGTAAATAAAAAAGACATGACATATTCAGAGAAACAGGTTAAACACAGACTAAAATGTAGGTCAGAATAAAAGTAGTAAAAACTGACAAAGAAAAGATAGGTTGTTCTCTCTGCCAGGCTAATAAATTTAGACATTATTCAGTAGACAACTAGGAATTATTAAAATCTGTTTACTACTAGTGTGAAAGGCAGCTGGTTTGTTTGTTTTTAAATGATGATAGTACTGTTTGGAGGACAGGATGGAATAAACAAACTAAGTATGTCAATTCACTATTGTAAACCTGAAATTAATATAACAAATATAAGATTGTATACCTACTATACTTATATGAAAAATTAAAAATAATAAAAAAGAGGTAGATCACCTGACTAGAATAGTTCATACCAAAGATCAGATACTGAGCTAACAGCTGGAGAAAAGTGATCAAGCTAAGTAATCATTTCTGATGTTAAAGACATAGCATGTGATAAATAACTGCAAATGGAAGATATGGCAGAGGAATGACAATTCTGAGATTTGTACTTTGGATAACTGGTTGGGTGGTATTTGAAAAGGAGATACAGGAAAGAAGAAAAATCATATGCAGCAATGAGAAATCCTAAATGGTTGACAAACCAAAAACATTTCCAGCCCTAGCTGGCTTGGCTCAGTGGATAGAGCATTGGCTTGCGGACTAAAGGGTCCTGGGATCGATTCCAGTCAAGGACACATGCCCGGATTGCAGGCTCAATCCCTATGCAGGAGGCATCCAATCCATGATTCTCTGTCATCATTGATGTTTCTATTGCTCACTCTTCCTTCCTCTCTAAAATTAAAAAAAATATTAAAAAAAAAAACACCAAAAAAAATATTTCCACTTAGGGAATTTTTTGCAATGAGGCAAGATTTGTTCCATTTAATCTTCTACAATTTGATCATGTGCTTATTTCAATTTATAGTGAAAGCATTTTTATTAAGGGTAACTTTTAAATAAAAATGAGTATCACTGGGGTTTAATTCAGAATTTCTTGCGGACTAATCTTATGGAAAAAAGCAAAAAACAATATACTGTATATTTCTAAAGAAGTTTTAGTATTTATTCTGATAGTGTATAGGGGAATTTAAATTCTAAGTAATGCTTTCCACTCTCACATCACATATTACTAAATACCTAATAAACAATTTAGAATTCCTGACAATTAATATGATGGCTATCTATCTATCTATATCTATATTTATGCTTTGCTTTTGATAAGAAAAGTAAAATACAGGGAAGTAGAGAAGGTTTCAAACACTAATGTGGTAGGCAAAACTGTGACTAAATACTAGTCTTTAATCCTAGTTTAATATTAAATTTCTGGAGACACAGTAACCTCCTCAGAGTGGTATTGTGCACAAGAAAAGGTATCAGATCAAACGATCAAATATAGAAATTTTTAATTCAATTTATTGGAGTGACATTGGTAAATAAAATTATACAGGTATACAATTCTACAATACATAATCTGTATACTGTATTGTGTTTACAACCCCAAATCAAGTCTCCCTCCATCACCATTTATCCCCCCCTTGAAAATGAAACCATTTTTATTAAGGATAACTTTTAAATAAAAATAAGTGTCACTCGAGTTTAATTCAGAATTTGTTGCTATTCAATTTCCTTGAATTGCTTCAAAAAGGAATAAAATGCCTAATTATACATTTAACCAAGGACGTAAAAGACCTGCACTCAAAAAATTATAAGACACTGAAGAAAATATCGAAGAAGACACAATAAAGTGGAAGCATATGCCAAGTTCATGGGTAGAAAAATTGAAATCCTTAAAATGTTCATGCTATCCAAAATAACCTATAGATTCAATGCAATCTCTATCAAGATACCAATGGCGTATTTCACAGATTTAGAGTATTTTAAAAATTTATATGGAACCACAAAAGATCACAAATAGCAACAGCAATCTTGAGAAATAAGAACAAAGTTGGAGAAATAATGCTACCTGATATCAAATTATACGAGGCCACAGTAATCAAAACAGCATGATACGGGCATAAAAACAGACATAGAAGAGGGGATAAATAGTGGTGGAAGGAGACTTTACTGGAGGTGTTAAACACACAATACAATATACAGATGATAATTTTATTAACCAGTCACCCCAAGAAATGGAATAAATTTAAAAATATATATATAGATCAATGGAACAGAATAGAGAGCCCAGAAATAAACCCATGCCTTTATGTCAATATTTGACAATGGAGGCAAAAAAAACACAAGGGGGTAAAGACAGTCTATTCAATAAATGGTGCTGGGAAAATTGGACAGATAACATGCAAAAAAAATGAAACTAAAAAAACAATGAAACTAGACCACCTTCTTACTACACAAAAACTTAAAATAGATTAAAGACTTAAATGTTAAACTCGAATCCATAAAAACCCTAAAGAGAACACAGGCAGTAAAATCTCAGACATTTCTCATAGCAAAAGTTTTACTGGTTGATGAGAGAGAGAGTGAGAGAGAGACACAGACAGACAGACATGGATTTGTTGTACCACTTATTTATGCATTCATTGGTTGCTTCTTATATGTGCCCTGAATGGAGATCAAACCCACAACCTTGGCATATTAGAACAATACTCTATCCAACTGAGCTACCTGACCAGGGTTATTTTTTCTGTTATATAGTTTCAGGCAAAAATAAAAAATAAGATAAATAAAAATAAACAAATGGACTACATTAAACTAAAAAGTTTTGCACAGGAAAGGAAACCATAAACAAAATCAAAGGACAACCCACTGAATGGGAGCCCACTGAATGGGAGAATAAATTCAACGATATATCTGATAAGGGCTTAATATCCAGAATTTCTAAAGAAGTTATATAACTCGAACACCAAAAAAAACCCAAACAAACAAAAAACAACTAATCCAATAAAAAATGTGCAATGGACAGACATTTCTCCAAAGAGGACATACAGATGGCCAATAGACATATAAAAAAATGCTCAGTGTCATTAATGATCAGAGATATGCAAATTAAAACCACAATGAGATATCACCTCACATCTATCAGAATAGCTATCATCATTAAATCAACAAACAACAAGTATTGTCAAGGACGGGGAGGAAAGGGAACTCTTGTGCACTGTTGGTGGGAATGCAGATTGATGCAGCCACTGTGGAAAGCAGTACAGAGTTTACCTCGAGAAATTAAAAACAGAACTGTCTTATGACGCCAGTGATTCTCCTTCTGAGAGTTCACCCAAAGAAATACTAACTTGAGAGAATATATGTGCCCCTATGCTCATTGCCGCTTTATTTACAATAGCCATGATTTGAAAGCAGCCCAAGTGTCCATCAGTAGGTAAGTGGATAAAAAAGCTGTG